CAGCAGAAGCAGCAGCAGCAGCAGCAGCAGGTGCTGCTGCTGCCGAAGCAATTCCGTTGAGGGTTTAGGGTTTTGGAATCTGAGGGTTTAGCGCTGCTTCTGCTGCTGCTGCTGCTGCTGCAGACGCACGAAGCTCCGCTGCGGGTGGATGCTTAGCGCTCAAGAACTAGGGTTTGTGTTTTGTGGTTTAGGGTTTAGGGTTTAGAAGCGAGGGTTTAGGGTTTGGGGAGCTCAAAGAAAAGGGGCCATTCCAGAGGCTGCAGAACTAAACAGCGCTGGCGTTTAGAGTTTTGGGTTGGGGCTTGGGGGTTTGGGATTAGGGTTTAGGGTTTAGGGTTTAGGGTTTTGGATTTAGGCTGCAGAGCCGTTGGAGGGCAGCCCTGAAATGCAATTGCAGAAACTGACGAGCGGTTTAGGGTTTGAGGTTTAGGGTTTAGGGTTTAGGGTTTGAGGCTTAGGGTTTAGAGCTGAACAGCGGGCTGAGGCGGATGAGGCGATTCAATTCAAGTTCAGTTCCAGGAGCAACTCTGGAGGTAGAGTCATCAAAATAAGGAGAAAATGACTTAAATTATTCATAATAAGGGTTTTAAATGAATAAAAACGAAGAAAAATGGTTTTTTTGGGGCTGCAAAAGACGAAAAACGAATTCGGTGGCTCGTCATCCCGGGTGTACAGACAGCGCGGAGTGACCTGCGCGGGCCGATCGCTACTTTTGTTTTCCACTTTTTCTTTTTTTGCGAAATCTTTCTTCGAACAATTCGGAGTAATTAAAAGACATTTAATTTCAGTTATTTAGATCTGGAATTTGCATTTATGGAACAGATCAGCGAAGCCGCTGGGGCTCTGCCGCCAGCTCGGATCCTTCTCGCTTTCTTGCATTCAACTTCCGCTCTTTCTCCGCCGGCGCCGGACTTTGAATTTGAATTTGAATTTCCGGGAAATTAATTCCAATTTGGATTTAATTGAACTTTAATTAAAGACGGAGAGAAGAAAAAAAAACAAAAAGCTGCTCAGTTCGTCCGCAGGCACCTCAGTGACCTGCGGCTGCGCGGCCGCGCCTGGAGGCCGTGGAGGTGTCTTTGGAGTAAATTGAATTTAATTAAATTCAATTTAATTAAATTCAATTTTATTAAATTCATTTTTATTAAATTCAAAATTTAAATCAAAATCAAATCTCAAAGATCTCTCCAAAGTCCTCGCCCAATTCTGCTGCTGAGCGACACCGCACCGCCCCCAGGCACAACACCAGTGCCGCCGGTTGCTGCTGCTGCTGCTGCTGCTGCAGTGCCAATAAAGGTAAACCCTTTTATATTAGAAATGAGCAACTCCAACTTTGCCTTAGAGGGGCCCCCCGAGGACCCTCAGGGGCCCTTTGGATCTTCTCCGCGGCACTTCAGCACCCGCAAGAGTTCTGCTGCTGCTGCTGCTGCTGCTGCAGCAGCAGCTGCTGCTGCTCACGACGGCGCTGCTCTGCCCCCGCAGCCATCTTCGGAGGCCTGGGGAGACCCGCAGCAGCAGCAGCAGCAGCAGCAGCAGCAGGAGGAGCAGCAGGGCGCTTCGGGGCTTCACAGCGGCCCAGTGCAGCTCTCCGCTGCGTCAGCAGCAGCAGCAGCAGCAGGAGGAGCAGCAGCAGCAGGGGTTTTGGAAGAAAGCGTTTTGCTGCAGGCCCCTTTTGCTGCTGCTGCTGCTGCAGCAATGGGCCCCCGCGAATACTTGGAAGCAGCAGTTGTCCCCGCGCTGCTGCCAGCTCTTGCTGCTCTTTGCGAAGAAAGGCCGGAGGCCCCGCTGCAGTACCTCGCCCACTACCTTCTCGAGAAAAGCTACTCT